CCACATGCAAAACCATGTTATATCTCTCTCTCCTCACCATTCATAGACTCATGATAGTAGAACTGAAGTAAAAATCTAAGAAACTTTTGAAAACAGAGCGGACAAAAGATGGCAAGGTAGGCCAAAAAGATAGTGAAGATGACGAAAATAATAATAGCAACGTAGACGATCATAAGCAGAATTTTTTACACATTTAATGTTTTCTAAATTTTTTTATTTTTATTTTTGAATATAATGCATTTTTTTAATAAAATTAACTTTATGTTTCAATTCATTTATATTTTTTGTTATTATTACTTAAGTTCAATGAAAATACACGTGAATACTCGGATTACGAAGCTAGGGAATCTAAGAATTGCGAAGTAAATTTTACACCACTATAAAAGGAATATGTTACCAAAAGTTTACAACATCTTCAATACTCTTACCAAAAGATCTTCAAGACTCGGGAGAAAGATGCTATCAATTCAAACATTTAAAACATGGGTCTTGCACACAACAGCCATGAATACAAAAGGATTTGAATTTACATTGATAGTCACCACTTACCAGTTTCCATTCAATGAAGCTGAATTAGCTATGTGTTCCATAACAAGAACTCTCCCCGAAACCACCACTTTGCTACACTTAGCCACATTTGCACCAACTTGCTCGATTTTCTCAGCAAACCCTTCAACTTTCTTAATGATTTCTTGCATAACAAGTTTCATAGCCTCCTCTTCTCTTTTCTCCACAGCAACCTCCACGGTCTTCAAAATCGACGAGATCCTTATTACTAGCGTCTCGACTAGGTTCTTTATCGTCTTCATCGATTCGATGTTGACTTGTGTACTGTTTTCCGTCAATAGAAACAAATGTTTCTGTGTCTTCACAGACTTCTCAGAGTCCTTCAACATACCAATGACCCATGTCCCTGCAGTTGCAATCGGTGTGGCCAATCCAATCGCAACCGTAGCCACCACCGGAGATGTCACGATCAACGATAAGGTGATAACAGAGAGTAACGCAGTCGCGAAAATAATATTCCCCAATCTCCTCAATTTCTTTACATTCTTATGCTTCTTCTCAAGCATTACTTGCAGCTCACGGATCTTGTCTAAAAGCATAACCTGCTCCTTGTAGACAGACTCGTACTGAGTCGTGAACTCGTCACCAAAAGGATCTCCCATAGCTTTAACCTTATTCAGCTCCTTCAACGTTTCCGCGTACTTCTTCTTCTTGTTTCCTACAAAATCTGTGTCCATCGACTCTGTTTCAAACTGTTGGATCGCAACTCGAATGACAAGCTGGCTGATTTCTGCTTTCTCGACGCATTTCTCCACGGTATTGAATAAATCTAAAGTCTTGTTGGTACTCTCAAAGTATAGATCAACCAAAGACTTTAGTTCTTGGTTCTTGGACACATCTTCTTTGCCTTCAATAATGATCTTGACCACATCTTGGCTTAGGTCAACTAGAAACTCGCAGACTTCCTTGAGTGAGTCTAAGGATGAATTTTCAGTCTTGCCTCCTCGACTCGCGAGCGAGCTGAACAATTTGCTGGTTCGTTGGTGAAGCGAAGAATCAAAGGATTTGAGGTCTGGATCTTGTTGACAAGCTGATATGTAAGAACTCAGCTGGCTTTCCAGTTGTTTCGGCAGCTTAGCCGTTAAGTATGTTTTAACTGGTGAAGTCTCATAACTCGTGTGTGCTGAGTACTTCAACAGTAGTTTACAGAGCAATCCAACAAACTCCATTGATATTATATACTGGAGCTGATCTGGAAAGGAAAAAAAAAAACAAATTCAAGAAAATCAAATGCTATAATTACTCTGTAAACCTAAGGGTGCATTTGTTAATATAACCTAGTA